ATTGCAAGACTGCACCACTATGTCAATCAAGCTATCAAGCTGTTATGTTTGTGCATGATTTAAAATTCTTTTGTGCTCCCATCTTTCTTTGCTTATATATAATCTATTGTTCTCTTTTACTGGTTGAATGATGCCAACTTGGGTAATGGGGTATCAGCAAATATCAGAACCTGATTATTCTTTAAAAAAATAATCAAGGTATTAGCATACCAATAAGTTAATAATTTTCTTAGTACTTTATCTAAAAGTCTACTAGTAAATGTTGAAGGTGCCAATATTTATCAGATATTCTTTTAAAATTAATCCTTTTTTTAGTTAATCATTGGCTCAATTTAATAAACTAATAGCTCTTTTATATTGTAATTAAGTTATTGGTTAAACATTTCTAAAGCTCTTTGTGAGTAGTAGTTAGGGTTTCTATTTGAATAAAACAAATAAAAGCAAATAAAGCAAATGTAAGGAGCAATTTTCTCACCTTGTTCTTTCTTCAAAATACTTCTAATGGTGCTATAATTCTTGGGTTCCATAGTAGATATGATGTAAATGAGTTTCATATTAACTATTTTTTGTATAGGGATAGTTCTATAATATTGATTTTTTGCAATCTGCATGCTATAATTAAAATATTTCTCAGATAATAACATATAGTTAAAAAAAATATTGGCAGGAGAATTTTTATAGTTGATTAATTTTTTAGATAAAGTGAAAAATAAAGTGAACCTTTACATATTTGATCTACAAATACATTTTCTACAACAAAATGATTACTTTCGTTTTCAATTCAACACCCAAATTTTACAAAAAATTCCTTCCTAAAAAAATATTTTAGTTCTAAACAGAATTCAATTCAAATTCAATTCTGAATCCAATTCAATTTCGAATCCAATTCTGAATCCTTATCCATATTCATTAAAATTGAACCGCGTTTTTTACCTGAAGATCTACTTTGTTGATACTTTTATTAACATAAAAAATTACACAAATTTTGATGAGGCAAATGATAAACGTATTAACCCTTTTTATTGAAAAATTCGATAAATATGGAAGGTTACATGCATCAAAACTATTAGCCCGAAATTTATTATATGTTAATTAATGTGTCAAAATAAAAGTTTTTTGTAAAATAAAAAAATAACATGAATATGCAATCTTTATCAATTTCGTCAGACAAAAAAAATATATATTACACATGTATCTATATTGTATTTTTAGAACTTGTTTTTGATGCAAAGTAAGGATAATAAGTGGTGTTATTAGTTAATTAACGGTTGATTTAATTTGTTGTAAAAACCAAATTTTTAGCTAGTTTATTATTAATTTATTTAGAAATGTACATATATAATGTATATAAATAAGCTTATACTCATTGGAATTGTCTTGTGGTTGGTTCAGAAATCTGATACACACCTGTTGGAAAACACACGGAATGAAAATTTTGTGATTAATATAATACGGCAAAAAAAATTTTGATTTTCTTTTATCATTTGTTTACTGCTATTAAAAATAAAAAAATCTTTTTCGTCAACCTTGATTATCTCAACTAATAATAATCATCTTTTATTTTTTTATTAGCAAACATCTTTAGTTTCATCAAATTTTATCAATTCATTCATATATTATTAGATGAATTCCTTACGTTAAAGCTTTGTACGAGAACGTGACGTACTCGGCATTCAAGGAAAAAAACCAATTAGAAACAGTTATTTATATTCAATCTTTAAACAAATAGGTTTTTAGAAAAATACTATTTGAATTTATTAATTTGCATATTTTAGAGGATATTGAATTCTTTTCATTTATCTTTCAATGATTGAGGAAACAACTTCCAATCAGAAAAATTTTCTTGAGAATGTGAAATAAAGATATTTTCAGTCTTATTAGAATTTTAGAAGCGTGTTGAATTGGTATGTAGTTAATTAGAAAATAAAATTGATACAAGATAATTCCAATATCTATTCAGATTAACAATATGCATTAAATAATTATAATTAACGAACGAAATATGATAGGTCATAAAAATTTTGACATAATAATAATAATAATAATTCAAATCGAATGATGAAATGTTGATCAAATGGCGTATTTAATTTGTGCAAATTAATTTAGAATAATAGATGGTAATGTTTGTATTTATTGTTTATGCAAGAATTTTTTATATAAATACGCTTTCATTTAATTTTTGTTTCAAGATTTAAAAAATAATAATTATCGTAAATATCCAAGTCAAATTATTAAACAAAATTTTATTATTAAATAATTAATATCTTTTACATAACGTATATGGATACTGAAATATAATTATATGCTGATAGAGCACAACTTGACGATGACGAGATTCACCATCCTCCTTGTAAACGCTACTCGCAAATTACTGAGTTATTTTACCAAATCTTATTAAAGTTGATTCTATAGATATCACAAAATCTCAAACGCTTTTCTGTTATAACACTGCAAAACATAAACCTCTTGGGAGGTAGAAAGGAAGCCAATGATGCCCGGAATAATGAAACAGACGAAGTGAAAAAATCAATTTGGAGTTTTAGCAAAACTAGCTCTTCAAAAACTTATGAAAATCGACCAAAAAATTGTATTTTCATTGCTCGCCACAACCAAAACAAATAGATAATGATAATAATAACGATTTTACAGTTTCATCATCACATTCTTATGATGAAATTGAACAATCCTTATTATTGTTTTTATGAAGATTATCTTTTTGTTTTCGTTGTGGTTCTAATTGTCGAGTCATAAAATGTGGCAAAATTGTACGAAGACAAAAAGATAGTTTTATAAAAACAATAATTATGATTGTGCATTTTCATCACTCACACTCTTCTCCTTCCTTTTGTCATATTTTATGGCCCAACAACCAGAATCACGACAAAGCAAAAAGATAACTTCTGTGAAAACAATAATAACAACTGCGCAGTTTCATCATCGCCTTATCCACGCTCTGCTTCGTCCGATTTTAATACTAATGCTGATTACGATACGATGACTGGCTGATCTTTGTTTTTAATATTAATGATGATTAGAATGCATTTATTGATTTTATTCTTATGAAAACATGAAACAGATGTAAAATAGCAATAATAAATATTTTTTAAATTGATAAATAGATATGTAATGACATTTTTTTAGAGAAGGCTTTATTAGTGAATTTTATTATAAAAAAATAAATCTATTTTTATAATTTTCTTTTCTTTTTTGCGAGATGGCTAAAAAAATTATCGGCTAATACTAACACTAATAACTAAGGAATTTTTAAACGGCTTATCCGGCTAAATTAATTCGATGATAAAAAAACTCTCTTAACATTTATTTTATGTCAAAATTTTACTCCAGAATTCAGCGGCATAAACACTTAGTCGAGATTGGTTCATCTGCATTATTTAGAACGACAAAAGAAAAAAACGCATATTTGCTAAAAAAAATAAAATAAAAGATAATAATAAAGAAAGCAATAGCAATAGAGATGTGCCATCCATAGTAACCCTGATTTTTTTTCGCGCATAGTGTATACGGAGGGGAATATCATAAATGCGTACATAATAATAAGAAAGTAAATGGCATATTCCTTAATATTTTTTTCTTAGAAATGTTTGTTAATAAATAAATGTCTAAAAAACATAGCTAAACCCTTATGCGTAACATACGCACAGCACATCACTAGCAATAGTAAACTATTATTTCCAACTCTTTTTTAGCATTAAAGTTTTTTTTTTGAGGTTTTGTTATGTGTTGTTTCTTCTGGTTCAAATGAACAAATACAAATATTTCCAATGAAACAAACTTGCAATTAAACGATATATATACATTCTTTGATTAATAATGACAAGAATTCTCAACCTTCACTATTGTGAGATGCTTACATTACACGCGTAAAGAATTAAAATGAAAAAAAAGAGTTTATTTCAAATCACATGTTTATTATAAATAGATATAAGGGAAGTTAAAACTTCACATTTAGATTTTATTTTTTGAAAATAAATATATACTTAACTGTTTTTAATCGGTTAGACCGGTTCCAAACTCTATGTCATGGTTGTAGTTGAGTCATAAATGAGACGAGTTTGCATCGTCACTTGTGCAAGAAAAAGTGGAAAGTGAATGAGGTGATGACGATGAAATTACATAATCGTTATTATTTTCTTTTAGATTTTGTTGTGGTTCTGGTTGTTGGATCATAAAATGAAGCGAGGTTGTATTATCGTTTGTCCAAGAAAAAGTAGGATATGAATGTGCACAATCGTTATTATTGTTTTTATGAAGATTATCTTTTTGTTTGCGTAGTGGTTCTGGCTGTTGAGTCATAAAATGAGGTGAGTTTGTACTATTACTTGTGTAAGGACAAATAGGATATGGATAAATTGATGATGACGAAACTGTACGATAGTTATTATTGTTTTTATGAAGATTATCTTTTTGTTGTAGTTGTTGTGACACAAAATGAGGCGAGCTTGTATTATCACCTGTGCAAAAAAAAGTAGAATATGGACAAAGTGATGATAATGAAGCTACACAATCGTTATAAAAATTCTCCTCTTGTAATTGAGCCATAAAATGAAGCGAGGTTGTATTATCGTTTGTGCAAGAAAGAGTAGGATATGGATAGGATAATGAATGTGCATAATCGTTATTATTGTTTTTATGGAGATTATCTTTTTGTTTGCGTTGTGGTTCTGGTTGCTGAGTCATAAAACGAGACGAGTTTGTACTATTACTTGTGTAAGGATCTTTTTGTTGTAGTTGTAGCTCTGATTGTTTATCTACAAAATGAAGCGATGATGAAACTGCACAATCGTTATTGTTGTTCTTATAAAAATTATCCATTTGTTTTTGATCTAGAATTAGTTTTGGTTCCATAAAATGAAGCAATGATGTATTATCAATTGTGTGAGAAGAAGTAGAATGTGGATAGGGTGGTAACGAAACTGCAAAATCGATATTGTAATTATTATTTATTTGTTTTTGTTGCGGCTCTGGTTGTTGATAAGACGAGTTAGGATTATCGTTCATGTAAAAAAAAGTGGACGAAGAAGGATTATTATCATCATCATTGTTATTTTTTTCTTTTTGTTCTTGTTGTAGTTCTGGATGGTGAGCAATAAAAATATATTCTTTTGGTAGTTTATTACCCGAAGTGTTGCCTTTTTTATCATAAGTTGATTTATGTTTTTCACGAGACAACTTTGCTAGTATTTTAAAGTAACTTTTTACTTCGTCCAATTCATTCTCCCAGGCATCGCCAGCTTCCTTTGAAAGAGTTTTCCAATCTTTTTTACTTTCAAGAGATTTATATTTTGCAGCATAATTTTTGCGGTATAAGAGAAAAGAGTTTGGAGATTTTGTGATACCTATATAATCAACATTATTGGGATTAGCTGAAATAAATTCTGTGATACGTGAGTAGAGTTTACAAGGAGGATTGGAAAGAAGATGAAATTCATTATCGTCAAGTTGCGGTCTATATAATAATATTTCAGGATCCATATGCGTTATGTAAAATATATTATGGTTATTATTATATTTTTTAATCGATAATTCGACTCGATAATTGCTATTCCTTAAATTTTAGAAAAAATATAAAACAAATTTTTTATTAAATAATAATCGAAAAAAAAAAAAAATAAAACAAAAAACATGAAACATTAAATACTAATTACTATACAATGATATTAATTGAAATTTATGATATATTTATCATTGATTTATTATAAGAAACTTATAATATATTCATCATTGATTTATTTATTTTTCAATACATAAACAGAAATGTCAAAGAGTGCTTCACGTTAACAATTCATGCCTTATCGCACAAACTAAGCAATGGTGTGAGTTTTTAAAAATACAGATCATTCATTCCCGCAATCGATATTTACAAAATTGTATAATTTAAATAGGGAATTATTTAATCTGAGTGACATCTTCCAGAGAGAAAATTAGTCTTGCACGATAAATGGCCGAGTTTACATGTATAATAGTTCAAAGTTCAATATAAATTTTAAACTTCTTTTTTATTTTAATATCGGCACTCGCTGATTATCATTACAATCAGATTAATCAGATTTGTATGATTTGTGTGGGATTGATTATTGTGCTACGTTCTGTTTTTAATTAATAGAAAAAATTTCATGAGTGACAAAGTCACTTGACAAAAAATTGTGAATAAAATAATTTTATCTAAAAATTAGCATAGTTTGTGTGATGAATAAAGACTTTTCTATGTAGAAAACACAGTTTTGCGGGTCTCTCGGATTCATTTACAGATTGGCAATTAAATAATTGATTGATTTATCAGTCATTGAACAATTTTACTGTTATAAAAAAGTAGAATTGGTTGTTCCGTTTGACAGAAACTAGATACCGTATCAATTTGTACAATACTACTATGAGATTTATTTTATTTTAGAATGATAAAATAGAATGATAAAATAAAATGTCAAATACAATAATTTGATAAAAAGAATTTTCGGACTTTGGCGGTATTTCCTGGCATGCACGGTACATCAATTTCTCACGCCGAAACTGAATTTTAATCCATTATTATGCATAAATGTATTTACTTTTTTTAGAGAATTGAAAAGTGCGCACCAATGATCAAATTAAATAGATTTAAAGTTCGCCTTCGTATACATGATAAAAACATTTCATAATGTTGATGATAATATTACGCGGGAATTCCAAAAAAACCTTTACTCAATAAAAAAATTGTGAACGCTTTCTAATTTAGATTGAACATTATTGGCTTCCATTAGCGCGTGCTTTTTCAAGCATTTTATATTTAAATTATGGTATTGTTTTGTTTGTTTTTTTTTATTCTTTGTAATCATCTTTTTCAATATTTTTTCATTTAAATGAAAATCAACAACCGGCGAATACCGAACCTAAAAATTTAACGTCTATTGTTTTAATTTGTACACCTTTTTATAAATATTTAGAATTCGAATTTTCTTTTTTATTATTGTTTGACCATTTCAATCATTGACTGTGCGCCATGTGATTTTCTCAGGACCGGCTGCGTAACACTTGGCTAAACTGACTAAACTATTTACAGTCAGTGTGTGCAAATCCTTTTTCTTTTTTTTAATTAGTGCGTGTAACATTCGCTTGAACACCAAGAATTGCTTTTAACATTTATAACATATAAACTTAATAGATTAAAAAAATGATATATACAAAAAAATTTATTGAAGTTTCAATAAATATTTTGCCACCTTTTGTTTAAAATAAATTGTTTCTTGAACTCACAATAGTGGGTCAAAATACACACGAAAATTTAACTAAAAACGTTGATTCTTTTCAACAAGGCAACTTTATGCTGATCACAATAGTCAATAAACTAAAGCGAACATTGTTCTTTCGACTTCATTAGTACCATAAAGATGACTTATTTAATGGAATTTTCAAAAAAATTACATACACCTTTTTTATAATTTGTATATATAAAATTTACATATTTGTTACTTTTTTATTGGGGCGATTTGTGAAACTACATCTTGAAACTATATAGTAAGTATCATTAAAAAATAGGAGCTAATCAAAAGACAGTATACCGAAAGACAGTATAATTAATAACGGCTGAATTATGAACAAACAGCATATGGATCTTTGAGAATGTTGGTCTATTTATTTCGCTCACTCTTTCATTCATCTATTCATTAACTAAAAGAAAATGTGTAACTTCAAAAAACAGATAATGGGGAAGCATAACATAGTTAATAGTAGTAGATAATGAATAATATTACTACTAATAACTTATTATATATAACATCATATTAATATTTGTTTTTTCAAAAAAACAGATCTACCAATTAAACAATGGGATTGGATTATTGTACAAAGCATAACGGTGGGCGGTAAGTAATAATATATCAATTACTAATAATAATTCTTATTGTATATATGTATATAACTGTATTAACGAGGTTTACTATTAGAGTTATTGTTACATATGCAACTGATTTATTATAATGGCTTATAACATTGTATTAACGGTTTTGTTATTATGCACGCGCGACCATCAAGGTAATAATAATATATTACTAATAATTCTTATTGTATTAACGGGGTTTACTTGTTTATTGTTACGCGTAGTAAGTAATAATATCATAATAATAATAATTCTTATTAAATATATAACATTGTATTAATATTTCTTTTCTTCCAAAATGTGGGTTTACTATTACTTATTATTGTTACGTGCGTGATCATCAAAGCATAACGCAGTAAGTAATAATATATTATTAATAATAGTAAAAATTATATATATAACATTGTGATTAATATTTCTTTCTTCCAAAATTGGTTCATAGTTAAATAATGGGTTATTTTTACACAACAAACAATTAAAGAAAAAAATTAGTTATTACTTTATTATTATTATTATCATTATTATTGCTATTTATAAAATTTTACTTGTATTTAAAAGAATAAATAAAATGTCTATTTAATTTAAATAAACAATATATTTTCTAGTAATTTTAAATGTGTGCTTAAAACATACTTATTTCGTGCTCAAAACATTAATTAATTTCTATATACTTAAATTAAGTGTGTTTTGAGCATGAAATAAGTATGTTGTAAATGTGCAAACTTTGCATAGGGCATATTGTTTTTCATTTTTTCCATTCAAATTTTTTTTGCAAAATTGATAACTCTTGATAGAATTCTGTATTGGCTGGAATCAGTATTTTTAAAATGCATAATAGCTAATATTTTTTAAAGACTTGAAACAAATTTGTCAGATACTTGTTGTTTGCTCCATTTATCATGTGGATTAATGTTAAAAGCAACAAACTTGTTGCAACATGAAAACAACCGTGTCATTACCACAATATGGATGATTTTTCTTCTTTCTGCTCATTATCAAAAACTAGAATTAAAAAAACCATTTGTAAAGGTCCAGATTATAAATTAAATCACTTTTTTTATATATTATGTGTATTTTATACATTGTCATTATCTTAAGACAACAGCAGCATTTCTCAATCCTAAATATTCTTGAACAACACCAGGAGCTAATTGTTTTATTTCTTTGTAAACTTCAACTGAATAATATCGAAGTCGAGTCTTTGGATCTGTATATTTTGCCTATTTAAATAACATTTAATAACATTAATATTTATTAAATTCAATATAGTATGTTAATGTTAATTTTGGAATACTATATTTACTTCTAATCCTGTTAAATCGCAATATTTCTTTTGTGGAAATATTGAAGGTGGTGCTTCTATATTAGAATCTATAGTTATACTTAATAACTTTTATTATTTTTAATTTCAATAATAATTAATAAAAAGAAATTTAAAGCTTACAAGTTGGAACATTCAAAGGAATATTTTGGTTCCTTTCAGCTGCTAATATTTGCTTAAGATTTTTTAGTTTTTTTGGTGTTTTATAACGTGGATTTTTAAAAGGTTTATCAACCAAATGAAGATTCATAGGTGCTGGAAAGCCATAATTTGGTAAAAATGAACCGGTTACATTATCATCTGTTATTGTAGCTGCTGATGTTAAAGTATTGGTTGATTCTTGAGATGCAGTTTCCATTATTAATATTATTTAGAACTATGGCAATAAAAAAACTGACATTGAATCGTGTAACGAATATTTTGATCAGCAATATCAAATTCACGATTTTGGTTGGTCAATCAACAATTACATTAAAGGCAAGTTATTTTAATTAAAAAGAAAGTTTTTTAAGTAAAATTTATTTTACTCTGCTGTAAGAGGGTTGAGCATAGAATCAGCGCATACCATTATAACTAAAACTCCTTTATGTCCTGATACCTACCTCGTTCCCGCCGAGTGTGTGCCACTTGGGTGGATCTTTCTGAAAGATGTTAGATCTGCTGTTACGTTGGGAGATGCCGTTACAGTAGATTTACCCTCTCTAACTGAATGGTCTATATAGTGCACTATAGTTAATTTGAGCTATGATGAAGATAAAACAAAATAACATATCGCTTAGACTTTGGTTCTATCTTTTTTTTATTATGAAAATAAATTTAGATGCACATCGGAGAAGATTGTATCATCAAAATTTGCATGTTAACACTTCCCTAACCCCCCTAAACCACACCGCTTTACTCATCTAATCCGAAATATTGACCACTCACTACAAATTTATCATTAACCACCGCAATTACTCTCATCATATATCTGTGTCCTATTAGTTGTATGACATATCCCTACAAATTGTAATTTACTAAAGAAAAATTTTTCTATTACCATGAACAAACAATCGACAAATATCTGAATACCAAGTTTGGTTTTTCATTTCATAAAAATGGTATGAAAATATTCTTATAACAAATTTTACGAGGACAAGTAATATTAGATACTTCACACAGTTCTGGCAGCAGGACGAACAGAAATGAGTTGGGAAAAACCAATAAATAATTTATGGTTAGATTTTATTAAAAAAAAAAAATTAAATTAAAATTATTAAAATTATTAATATGTAGTAATTGTGAAATTTTATATAAAAAACTAATATAAATAAAAAAATGATTCTAAAAAAAAATTAAATGAAATAAAAATTTCATTTTTCAATATATTAAGTAATTCAAATCTATTATTTTGATTTATCCGATAAAGCTCCAATACGCTTTAAATGTGGTAAATTTAGCCTACAAAAAAATAAATGAATAAACAATTTTAGTGTAAATTAATGACATTAATGAACTTTATTCAAAGTATTACTAGTTTTAAAAAAAGTCATACCAAGCCGGTAAGTAGTTATCATGTGGATGAACTTCACGTGGAGTTGGAACTTCAAATGGCCCAGAATCTTCTAATGGTGTTGTGTCAAGTAACAATGTATCATTTTTATCATTAGGAACCACTCGACCTGCTATTGCTTTCAAAATTTCAGGACTGATTGGATTCTATAATTTTTATTATATTGTAATAATAATAATAATAATAATAATAATAATAAGTTCCACAAATCACAAAGAAAAAAATTCCATATAAATATATATACCTCATAATCAGCAACAAAGTAATGATTTATAAGTTTTTGAATTTGTGTTGGAGTTAACATCCAACATACATCATAAATAATTTCAATGTCACTTGGTGTTGCCTATTGATAAAAAATAAAAAAGATTTTTTAAATTTGTGAAACAAAAAAATACAAAAAAATTATAAATTAAAATTTACCTTTTTGAGTTGAAGTAGTTTAGTAGCTTGGGTAAGATGTTCTAATTGAAGTGTACCTTCAGGCATTTCATGACTCTTACACCACTCCTCTATTCTAGTAATATTATATTGAATTTGCATAGCTGTTTATAGCAATAATAAACAAAGATATTAGAATAATAATGGTATATATATTCATTGCATAACAAATAATGTTTGATTTAAACAAACCTCTCTTCCATGAACAGAAACTTCTTCTCATTAACAAATCATTGAATGATGATACACCAATTAATTTCAACAACTCAATGACCACTTGTTGAATAACTGACAGTTCAACATAATAAGATTTCATTGATTTCCATACTTTATTCAAAAAATTAAGCAGATCATCCATGCTGAATGCAGGTGGTGTAGGACCCGCGGCAGGTTTGGCAACGAAACGGCTTTCACTAGTTATGAATCCAGGTAATGATTGACTTTCAATAACAGCTGGAATGATCATCTTAGACAATCGTTTCTTAAGTTCTTTCATCCAAGTATGATAAATATTATACTCTAAACTTTCCAAATCATGCTTAACAATCGATACTAATCTTTCATAATCATGCCATTCAAAGTCTTTATCATTGGGATCTACTAAAGGATTTACTCCACGAAGCGTATCTTTTTCAGTTGCATTGGCAAATGATAATAATTCATGTACATTAGACAACCAAAAAGCACCTGGAAGAATTGCATTATCACCTTCAAACTCCTATATATGCATTATAAATTTTGGAGCGTGATCAACAAAAAAAAAATAATTACCAAAAATATATTATTATTATTATTGAATAGATTTTGATAAATTACCATAACATGCTCTTGAATAGTTTTCATAACATTAGCAAATAATCTTTCAGATTCTTTTATAAACCCAAGTTTCCACATTTGTTTAGACAACAAAATTATCAAGCGAGCAGGAAAAAGTATTTCTTTTTGTGAAGGAGGATTTTGTAAACTCGGTAAAGGTATTTTTAATGATTTAATTAATCCATTAATCACTTCTTCATCAAGAGTTTCTTCATCTTCTAAAAGTTTCATAATCTAACAATATCATTTATTAATATATATATAATATAAAAAATGAATGATATATATGTATGTGTATTTTGATTTACCTCTTCTTCTGGATCATCTTCAATGTTTGATAAATGAATTCGTCCACCTGGAGATCGAGATCGAATTTTTGGAATATTTGTATTTGCGTGTGGTACAGAAACTGGTCTTAGACCACCTTTTTTGATTTCAGCCATTACCAAATCAGTTGATGTTCTATTTTTTCTTTTAGCAACTTCAGTAGGACCCCAAGAATCAGCAGTACTATGCCTTCGATTTCTTCGTTTCTGAGATGTTGGAGGCTTAAGAGATGAATTATTAGCAGCAGTTAAGTAACCAATTTCTTGACGATGTTGATATGATGGAGGCGGGGATGTTCCCCTTATACCAGCAGTCTTAACCTTAGCCAATTGTTCTCTTAAAGCAGCTATCTCTTGTTTCAGTCCGAGGACAGTGGCTGGATCTTCTGTACCCTTGTATTTAGCATTAGTTGCACGAAGTTTGGCAACTTCTTCATCTTTTTTACTGATTTCATTTGTGAGTTTTTGTATTTCTGTATCTTGTTTTTTGATGCTGTCCAATGATGTGCGATACCGATTTTCTAAAGTTTCTTTTTCAGTTTGCAGTACTTTAAATTCTTCAACTCTAACAGTGGACCGTGATGTTTCATTTTTGAAATTCTTTGAATCACTTTCCAATTTCTCATATTTTTCAAACATAGATTTGATTTGATTTTCTAACGCATTAGTTCTCAACTCAAGATCCTTATTTTCTTGAACTTTTTGTTCCAAATTTTGGGTAAGCTCAATAACTTTGTTTTCCAGTCTATACGAAACTTCCTTGAAATGAGTTGCAGAACGTGCTTCAATTTTTAACTTTTTGAGTTCAGTTCTAGCTATACGACGACGAATACATGATTGAACAAAAATAACATGTTTAGTGGTTTTTTTGTATTCACGGCGAGTTGTCCTATTTTTTAATTATCACAAGCATTATTATTATTATTATTATTAAAATACTTGTGAATCATTAGTATTTATATTTATATTTTAAATTTAAATTCAAAATTTACCGTCCACGATATACAGCTTGAATTTTAGTTGCAGAAATATTACAAAGCATCTCATAATATCTTTTCCTTGCAATAACACCACGGATAACTATTTAAAAAAAAATTTTTCAATTATGAAAAAATTCCAATCTATTAAAAAAAGAAAGGTATAAAATATTATATTTACCAGTTTGCAATTTGTAAATTGCATTTTTGGCACGTAAATATCGTTTTCTTTGAATATCACCTCTCCAATATTTTTGAATTGTAATAGCAGCTCTTTTTTCACGTAATCGTCGAAGCTCTTGTATAGCCTTACGACGTCGATATAATGATTGAATTGTAATAATGGATGTTCTAGTTGTTTGATATCTTTTCCTATGCTTGTGCCTAAGCATATTTTTTTGCACAAGAGTCGCACATTCGTTCAATCTATCAAGACGAAGTTTTTCCAAATAAGCCAACTTAAAAATAAAAGTAAATTAATAATCGAAATTAGAAATTTTGATGTATTAATTGATGGCTTTTTGCTAACATCCTTAAGTCACTTTTATGACATAATTATGCAACAATCCATCTCAAACATATAAATGTACGTAAAATATGAAATAATAATCACCATTCCAGCACGGAAAAATAGTTTAGTTAAGCCCACTTGATATTTATCAGCTTGTTTGATTGAAGAATCTAGAATTATTGAACATATTTTTTTTGTGTCTGGGCCCAATTTTGATGAATGGACAAGCATATAATATCTTTGAACAAATTCATCAAATAACCAACGAGTTGGATAACCAGCAGAACTAATACGAATAGTTTCCAAAACACCACAGGCTCTTAATTGAGAAAGAACCATCTGAGGTTCAAATTTCCATGCTACTTTACTCTCATTTGGTTTAATGCAACGAATGTAGTGCACATTTGTTGAACTGATTGTTTCCATCAAATTAATCAAGGATTTCTATAATAGTAGTAGGGATTAATAAATATATTAACGTAATTTAAAAATAAATAAATTTTTTGCACTCAATGGTATACCTTAAATATTGAACCTAAAGTTGTTTTTTTTGCAGTTGGTAAGCTTGTACGTCTTATTTCAGGCTAAAATAATCATTATGATAAAATTATTAATTATTAATTTATAAATAAATAAATGTTAAAAACTGTCTATAATATACCTTGCCAGCTACAGGTGAACTTGGAGGTGATGTTATGTTGAGTATTTCTTCCAAGAATTCAAAATTTGTCTTTTTTAATAAATTAAGATGTTCATCTGGTACAGTGTCTCTATTTTTTTCAAGAAAATTTTCAGCATCATAGGTGACCTCATTTGCATAATGATTAATTGTGAAAGCATCATTTTCAAATCTTGGTTTCCGAAAATATTTTTCATATGCAGGTGTATTAAAGTGTTGATATAATTTGTTGCACCAAGAGCTGTCTGTACCAGATGGTAAACGACTTTCCTGTTACAAATAAACTTTATAAATATTTTGGTTTATTTACTTGACCCCCCCCCGAAAAGAACTTTATCTGATTTACCTCATCCAAAAGAGTAAGAATACCTAATTTTCCTCCTATTTTTCCTTCTATTAATTCAATGCATGGTTGATTGTCACTGAAATCAATAAAATTCCAATTAATTTTTTCACGAATATACTCCTAGAAATATGAAGATATATTAGTAACATGCATGAGTGTAAATAACTTGGAATTGAAATTGATTTACCTCTTGTTCTAATTTAAATACATGTTGATTAAACTATTGACAATAAATAAAATATTAATATGATTGTTATTAATTATTATTACTATTATTATCAGCAAAAAAGAAATACCTGTTGTTGTAATTTTTCATTTGCATAATTAATACAGAATTGTTCAAAAGAATTTTTCTCAAAATGTTCAAACCCATAGATATCAAGGACACCAATAAAACTTTTTATATTTTGAGTTATATCATCACTACATAAACTTTCATTAATAATGTAAACAAGCCAATCAAACAAATTAGCATATATATATTTTGCCACCGAATCTCTGACAACTGTGGCTTGTTGTTCATTTAAATCTGTAGAAATCTTTTCAGTTCGTGCGACAATTAGTTTCTTGACAGTCCATTTTCTGAACTCTGCTTTGTCTATGCCAAGTAACTTTGTAGCAGTTACTAAAGCTTGATCAGTATCTGAAATCACGGCCATATCACGACTTGCAGTGATTTGAATATTGCCAAGATGTAAAAGAGCAGCGCAGAGCCTAAAAATTTGCCATTGAACTTGAATTGTTATCCCTATCCTAGATAATGATTTTTGAGTAATCTCAAAGTCTTGTGCATCATCAACTGAACCGAGAAGGAATTTTTTAGAAAGAATAAATATTGATTGATTGATTGATTTATATGCGATTTTTTTTTAATAAATGATTAAAATTGGTAATTTTAAAAAAATTACCTCCATTTATTGTTCCATGACCGCCTTGTCTCAAATAATGAAATTGAGAATAATCACCAAGTTCCAAATTCTTCCTTTCTGATGATGGCGCACCAGCACAAAGCTATAAATTATTATTTATTTTCTATAATTAATATTTTATAAGAAACAATTGATAATAATAATGATAATAATAATAATAATAATTTATAAATTTACCTGATAAAAAATATGATAATTTCTTTCTGACTCTGGTTGATAAACTAATCTGGATCGTTCTAATAAATATGTTCTAATTTTGGCACCAATAATGTTTTGATTTATATCAAATAAAATCTAAAGTTCATATATATTAGTTGTATCAGTAAATAAATAATATATTTAATTTTTTTTAAAAAAATAAAATCTACCTCTAAATATTTTCCAAAACGAGAACTGTTATCATTTCTTGTAGTTTTTGCATTACCAAAAGATTCCATAATGGGATTAGTGGCTTTATTTAAAAAAGAGAGAGAGATATATATATATTCATGTATTTATTTTATAAAATACCAAAAAAAAAAAAATTTTATCTTTTTTATTTTGGACATACCCATAATTTGTTCTTCAACCTCACTCATTCCAGATGGATTACTGGATACTTTTTTTGCACTTTTTGGTTTTTCTTTATCGTCTACTGATGCGAAATATCTCATTATGTACTTGGCGCTAGCTGTTTTACCAGCACCACTAAATTATCATCATTATCATCATCGTTATCATTATTATATTATTATATTAATATATTATCAATAAATAAATTACCAACGATGAAAAAAATCCCATCACCATTGAAAAAACTACCTTTCTCCTGATACAACAATGGTTTGATTTTTTTCCTCTCTCAACATACATCTATAAGCATCTTCAGCAATGGCAAATAAATGTGGCTCTAATTCTCCACAACGTTTACCAGAATATGCATTGATTATATCTTGGGAATACAAGGGAACAGTTTGAAAAGGGTTTGTTGCGATTAAAACTATACCAGAATAGGTATAAATAATATTTTGAAGATATCTTATTTTGATTGTGTGAAGTACTAATAATTTTAGAAGTTTTAAATTTTGTTTTAAAAAAAATTATAATCATAATTGATTTATATGGTATAATTTTTGAGATCATATATATTTCTGATATAACCTGCAGGTTCATTAAGATAAGATAAACTTGTCAAGTCATCAACATCTTCAAGCATAGGAGGATTGCGAAGAGGTGGTAATTCGGCATTATTTGATTTTTCAAGTTTTTGTAAAGTAGTTGTGACAATTAATTCCTTTTAAAAATATAAAATATAAAAAATTGGATGATGATCAAATGTATAAATTTTTAAACTAGAATATTTTAGTTTTAATTTATAAATCATACCTTTTTGTCGTCATCGGATATGAAAATTAATTTAACGTCATTACTGCTAACTTCTTTTGATGACAATTGAGCGCTTATCCAGCCAATTTTGTCATCAGGCCACCATACAGCAGTACCTTTACCATACACTTCTAAGGAATGTGAGGTCATTATAAGTGAGTGATGATGACAGATTTGAGAAAGTTAAGAAGTGACACTAAAAGAATTTGTAACGAAATCTGGAGCTTTTATTCGTCAAAAGATCTAGCGAGAGTTTGCGAAATGAATGCTTAAATAAAGTAAGTAATGCGAACAGCTTTTCGAAGTGAAAATTTAAAATCGTTCCTCTAAAAAAAAAGGAGTGAGTGAAGTAAAATAATTAATATTTTTTCATATTTATACCGGAAATGGATTTGATTGACAAAAGTTTAAACAATTTAATTAAAATTGATCGTGTAACAAAATACATTTGGTCGCCGATAATACATGGAAATCAGTGTTGAAATTTCGTCGTGTAACTAGTACAAATTTAGAAACTATCTCCAAAAATTAAAAATTTGATTGGTGTGTAATGTTACACCCCCACATTCCCCACATCGAATTTTCAACACTGATGGAAATTATTCAATCAAATTTTGAATGTTATCAAAATTTGTACTAGTTACACGACGAATTTCAATTTTTTTAGTGGCACAAAAATTTATTAACTGTCGTGTGACAAAAAGATCGACGTTCGCAATTATCATATTTACATTTTAGTATAAGATCTTCGTGTTACATGTGAAAACCGAATATCATTGTTATATGTTACATCGGAGCCTGTTGTTCTTGAAATTTCAACAGCATATAGTCAGTCACCTCTCTAATACTAAGTCCAAGTGTAGGATCAAATTTATCACTCGCCTTTTATAACTGAACTCTTGCAAAAACGTTCACTGTAACTTATGTTATTTATGATCATTTTTTGTTACACAGACAGAGTGTCTACTATGCTACATACAGTGTTTCTTTTTTTAAAGAATCTCACAAAATGAGTGATCCTCCTTTCCTTATTGAATTCCAAATTAAAGATGGCACTGCAACTAGGAAGTTGCAACCAAAAAAAATTTGACATCTAATGCAACTTCTGATTGGTCGTTTACTTCAATCACTTTTTACCAAAAAAAAATATTTAATTAAATTTCAACCAGTAAAAATGTGGTAATACTAATAAAACAATTTTGGTCACAATTAATAATAATAATGGTTATTTATTCTACTTTATTTATTTATTTATCGTACTACGTTTTATTATTTATTTATTTGTTTATTTTGTATAATTAGTTAATAGAAATTAGAATAGATTCGCGATATCGCAATTTCACAGGAAATAATTTAATTGCTGAATAGTAATATCGTAATGAAAGTGCAGAATAATAATTAGAGTGCTAGATCGCAATCAGGGCTGGCCGCGTAACTCAAATGAGCGCTTGGCCAAACTGACTAACTATTTAGTTGGTTATGTTATTGTTATGGAAATTCCTATATACAGAAAGTTTCTTTTTTATGAAACCTTACAAAAAAGGAAATTAAATTTTACAAAAAGGAAATTTAATTATGACTTAAATTTATGTATATAAGCGTGACATTTAATAGTGATGTGATGACATGATGATGTAAATTTGTGGGTTGGAGGTGGTAGGAATTACAGAGCATTTACCAACTCTAAAAATTAAATATTATTTGTCGCATAGGTTTATAAAAAGAACCTTTCTATATATAAGTTTACCCTTTAGTCATATGTTTATATAGTCAAAACAATTATTGCTAAATTAGGATTTTAACTGCCAGCCCTGATCTCAATGAAAGTGCTACTAATCAATTAAATTGTATATAAAAAGCTTGAATTCGACATATTTGCAAAACAACTTTGCCATAAGTTTAATAACTATTAATTTAGAAATGAATTGATAATAAAATTAGCTTTGACTAAATAAAATAAATCCACATTTTCTTTATAAATCACTAAACCAAATTACTCGCTAATAAAAACTATTCGCTATCAATAGCTGATTCATTCTGATCCACATAATCATAAATTTACATTTGTTATCATCAATTAATACCAATACGCTCTCCCAAATAATAATTGATGACGCAATGAATAAGTAGTTTTATAAAAAACCTTTTACATTTTTTTATTGTTATGAGTAACAAAAGGTAATGTTTGCAATTATATGACTCCATTTTTGATAATAATTCATCATAATTATAGTCGCAGAAATTGCAGACAGTTGTAGTAAAGGTTGCTACTCAATTTTAAATTTCGCAGTTGCATCTAAAGCTCCGAACGAGCCGAGCTCGAGTATAAAAAAAATTTTTTTTTTAGGTAACAAATGATTAATTAATACTTTTATTATTATGTATGCATATTAATTTAAGAGCCTATTCTCTTGAACTTGAAATACAAGTTTTAACTCGAGTCTGCTCAACTTGGAGTTTCTATTCAAATAAAAAAACGAATAAAATAAATAATTTGAATAAAACGAATAATTTTGATAAAACGAACTCAATAATTATAAAGATTTTCGCATTTTAATATCTGAACAAACATTATGAAATTTTACAGTCAAATCTTTCGTTTCAACGAATCTCGTTTCATTAAATTCGCGTTACTACGAAGTTTTAAAAACATAAAACTCATTGAAATGTGATTAGTAATTTTGGTATAACGAATTTTAAATGCGATTTTCCTGCGTGTTCCATGGATTCGTTGAAACGAGGTTTGACTGTATGCATATATTTCAGAATCCAAAAAGCATTGTTTTATTAGAAGAACAAATACAGAATTGTACTCATTTGAATTTTTTATTCTGTTATAAAATTATTGACAATTTATAATTTATTATTGCTTTACTTTTATAATTATTTCCAATGGTCTGCAAATTTCGAGTTGGCTCGAGCTCATTCGGAGCTTTGACTTCAGAAAATATGAAAACGATTACAGACACCAACTTTATTCCAGATTTGCTGTTGCTTTGGGATTCCTTTAATTTATTGATGAGCTTGACTATGTGTTTCTAAGAATGCTAGATTTATCAGTAAACTTGTCCAACGGATTCATGAGAGATAACTATCAAATGAAATTCCTTTACACTTATAAGCATTATATTATGTTTTGCTTTGCATCCACACCATTGATGATTTGTCTTCCTGATTATTCATCACTTGTTTAGGAAAAGTTTTTGAAGGTGCCTTAATCCTTTTTTTTTTTTAGCGAGAGAATTCTGTGTAGCCAATAATATTCCTTCCTCCATTGCCTGACCCTCAACTTTCAACCAAACAACATAAAACAATATCTTTTCATCTATTCATTTGAAATATTTTCGTGATATTTTCGTTGCTTCTGTATTAGGTGATATATTTATATATCACAACGCGAATTATGCCGTGTAAAATTTGCAACCCACGTATGCGAATTGCAATTTCATTTTCCACGCACAACATACTGTGGTGTTCTATGGCTGTTGACAAACATATGATACATTAATATAATAATAACAAATTTTTAGTGGTCGATTTTGTTGCCAACATTTACATGTGTTGGAATATATGATAAGGAAGATAATGATAAATTTTTTTTTTTCATAATAAAATTAAACAAAACTTTTTATGGTTTTATTGCTCAAATATTCTATAATAAATCTATATAGAGTCTCTTTCCTTGTCTCATTCAGTTATAAAGTTTATATATTAGCAATTTTTTTTCAATGTCTTTACTAATATATAAAAAAAATTTTTCTTATTTGGTAAGAAAAAACTCACTAGTTTTAGTTGAAGGCCTGATACAATTTAGCTTTTTAAATATATTTTTAATCAGGAATATCATACCCCATCAATATACCCCATAGACTTTTGCTAGAAGCGAGACAAATTAAATAGTAACTTTTATTCCATTAAAGAAAATTGTTTTCTATTAAACCAAGTGCGGATTATTGTTTTAAATTTCTGCCATTCAGCAATTGTCAACATCCATAAAATTTTGTTAGAAACAAAAGTCTATAATGTAGGTGCAAAACAATGTTTATTTCCTATTATTAAAAAATTTAATCTAATTATAATTAATTTGACAATGACTTTTTTATATAGTAATTTTCTATTCTATTTGTTTTTAAGGTAATCAATCGGAAGGTTGATATCTTAATTATCTAGACATGTATATAATTAACGAGTTAAATTGTCCAGGGTTCTCTTTTAATATGGCTAAGCCAGCTTTGTTTGGCTTAGCTTAGTAAAGAAAGAAATTTAAGCTGTTCATGCTGGCAAGAGTTGCCAAGGTTTTCTTTATAGAATAACTTTATTATTCACCTGACATTATTGAATAAACCTGAATAAACCTGTCGTTGTTGTATGAACATTTTAAAAAATTCAAACATGGGTCATGATGTACACGGTTGAATCTCGATTTAGTTCTAAAAATTCATCTTTAATCTACTAAATACTAAATCGAGATATCTGTAAAAAATTATCGAGTTTTAGAATTACATCATATGATATCCCTTGTATACCAATACTAATACTAAAAAATCAAATATACAATGATAATAATAATAAATAAAATAATAATAACTATAGCAATAAAGAAATAAAAGTAAATTCATTTTATTCTAATCTTCCATTCTCATTTGTACTTTTTCTTGAAACTTATCAATCAATATAAATAACAATGATGTATTAATATTAATATGGATTTTTAAAAAATATCTAGTATTAACATGGTAATAGTAATGGTAATAGTAATGGTAATAGTAGTAGTAAATAGTAATAGTAATAGTAATAGTAATAGTAATGGTAATGGTAATAGTAATAGTAATAATGATAGATGATAAATCCGTTAAATCGATTATTATTATAGACAGAATAATGGGGTTTGGAATTTTATTCGTCAAGTCCCTAGACATACAATGCAATCAATTTTGTGAAACATCTTTTTATAAAGTATGTTGCACTGATTTAATTGAGCGCGAGTGGTGAGAATTTTTCTAATAAAGGCAATAAAATTTTTCTTTATTAGCGAAAATCACCATGACCATTACTTAATTAAAAATACGTAATGCGGCATAGCCTTTTTTTTATTGGATAAACTTTTTACCATAACACATCATATGAAGAAATTGCTGCAAGAGGAGGATATTATTCATATTAAGACCAAGGATGCATTACAAAGTTGCAAAGACCTTCTTCTTATTTATGTAAACAAGAACAAGAGTCAAGGCTTATAACGGGAGGATAATACGTATATTGAATAGTTTACAAGAATAAAGTTCTTGAGTCACATGATAATGAATTCCCTATTCTCCATTTTCTCCATTTTCTCCATTATAATTATTGTTATTATCATTATGAGAGTGTCATTATTACAAAGGGAGCGATTTGTATAATACATTCATATCATATTAACATTAAATATTGATATTGTTTACCACTTCTGGCTTGAATGTGAATAATGAATCTAGAGTGTTCTCTGGACATTGAATCCAAAATAAAAATTCCTTATAATTATTATTATTGAGAAAATCAAACAATAAAATTTTTAACCCCTGAAAATTTCAGTTTGATGTCTGGTCATTGTTCATTTTGTCCCATTTATTACACTAAATTTTTGAACCCTGTAACTCATGTCCACTTTGTCTAGTTTTTTGTATGCAGCCTGCCCCACATTAGTCTATTTAATATTAATTAATTAATCACACAAGTCTTTTAAAAGAAAAAAAACAAATTGTTTAATCTTAAATTATTATTATTACTTTATCAACTATACCAACAATGGGTCTTTGTTTATCTGCCGAAGAAAAAGAATCAAGAATACGAAGCTACCAAATTGATAAACAGCTTGAAGAAGATAGTCGAAAATTCAAAAAAGAATGTAAAATTCTTCTGTTAGGTAGGTTATGTTATTTACTCGCTTATTAATTATAAACATATTATCTTTTCTTACTATCCATTTTTTTGTAATGTTAATGTATGCTACTTGCAACTATTCACTCGATTTACATACATATATATATATGCATCATACCTTCAATTTAATTGTTGAAATGTGAATTATTGGTTCTAAAAAAATTTAAACAAATTATTGTAAACATATAGGTTCTGGAGAATCAGGAAAATCTACAATTGTAAAACAGATGAAGATAATACATCAAAATGGATACACAAAAGAAGAACTAGCACATTATCGTATAACGATATATAAGAATCTTATAGATTCTGCACAAGCAATAGTTTACGCTATGAGAAAATTTCGTTTAGAATCTCGAAAACCTATAAATAGGGTATGAAATTATAAATATATCGTAATGTATTATCATGTAATAAAAATAATATAAACATAATACTTATATATACACATTTATTTACGTAATAATTAATAGGTTTACGCAGAAAAAATATTAGAATATTATGTAGAATCAGATCCGAACTTTCAACTAAATCCAGAGATAGTTGAAGCAATCAATTCAATATGGAATGATCCAATAATATCAGAAGTGTTAGATAAACAAAATCATTTCTATTTAATGGATTCTGCTCCTTAGTCAGTATTATAATTACTATATTAATTGGTGTTTATTGTCTATATTGACAATTAATAATTATATTTATCAACATAGCTTTTTTGAAGAAGTAAGGAGGATTGGAGCCCAAGGTTATATCCCAAATGAGACAGATGTTTTACGTGCAAGAACAAAGACCACAGGAATAATGGAAACGAGGTTTAATATGGGTCAATTAAGCATACAGTAGGTTATCGTAATAATAATTAATAATAACAATTATTATTTATTATTAATATATATGCGATTTATATATTATAAAAACATATTTATGTATATGTGTAATTTAGTATGTTTGATGTGGGAGGTCAAAGATCAGAAAGAAAAAAATGGATTCATTGTTTTGAAGCAGTCACATCAATCATTTTTTGTGTTGCGCTTAGTGAATATGATCAAGTTTTACTAGAAGAATCTGGACAGGTTATTATTTTTATTAATTGGTGGAGGAAGAAAAAAGATTATTAATTAATCAATCAAATTAAATCTTATTGTTATTATTATTATTATTATTATTATTATTATTATTATTATTATTATAGAATCGTATGATAGAAAGTCTTGTATTGTTTGAATCAGTGATTAATAGTAGATGGTTTTTGCGAACATCCATCATTTTATTCCTTAACAAAATTGATTTATTTAGGGTAAAATTACCCAAAGTTCCTCTCTCAGATTATTTCCCTGAATATACAGGTAAAATTTTTATTAATATATATGTATTATAATATTAAATAATGTGTATATATATATATTTATTTATTTAATATTATATGTAGGTGGTAATGATATAAATAGAGCATCAAGATATATATTATGGAAATTCACTCAGACAAACAGAGCAAATCTAAATATATATCCTCAGTGAGTATTTATTTAAATTCATTTGTGTGGCTAAAGATTTATTAATTAATATTATTAATCATATTTTAACAGTGTTACACAAGCAACTGATACAAAAAATGTATGATATTTTTTTTATTTTTTTTTTGAATTTTCCATTGATATTTGCTAATATTTATTTAATTTTTAAAATAAATTTTTTTTCAATAAATAAGATACGGTAGGTATCAGACATCTGATATGTTATTTACATATATTTTAATTTCAAGTTATTAATATTAATTAATATATATTACATCATAATTGTAGGCTTGTATTTGCTGCAGTAAAGGAAACCATATTACAAAATGCTTTAGTGAAAAGTGGTATCCTATGATATATATATATATATATATATATATATATATGTGTGTAAATTATATATGAATGTGTTTTTTATTTTAAATATATTTTTTTCTGTAATATTGAAATATTTTGTATATTGCAATTTTACTAATATTTTTCGGATGGAGATTATTTTAGAAAATGCATGTTTGGTGTGGGGAGAACGTGCAAGATCAAATAAAGCCATATTATATTTTGGCTATATATATATATATAACATCAAATGATTTCTTTTTGTATATTGTTTTAATAATAGCAATAATAACGGACTATTTGTTTATTATTAATATTTTTTTAGTTTTTTTTAGAAAGACGAACAATTTTTTTTTACTTTTTTAATAATTACGTTGTGTAATTTTATTTTAATTTTAATAATTAATAATAATAATAATAATAATAATAATAATAATAATAATAATAATAATAATAATAATAATAATTATAATTATAATAATAATAATAATAATAATAATAATAATAATAATAATAATAATAATAATTATAATTATAATAATAATAATAATAAATATAATAGTATATTTGGGAATAAAAAATTTTATTCCGAGTTTGAATTGATAAGTTTTGCAAAGTGACAAAACATCACGCCTCTGAGGTCACTGACCCTAAAATATTAGGGGTCTTGCTTGCTCCATTATACATGTAGCTTGGAATAAATAAACAAATATATCCCAGATGCTACGAAATTTTTTGTTAATGTTATCTTGATTTCAATAAGCCATTACTTCATACTCCAGGTCTGTCTGCTCGAACAAGCACAATTAAGGACATGTTTGCGTCTTGAACAGATCCAGTTCGTACGAAACTCATCCATCTACTCCTATTATTCTGCAATACTAATACGTTTAGCTCTTTATGAAGCCCATTCACAGGTGCAGGAGAAATTTCTCGGATATTGATGGAAAACCCGCATTTCCAAAAGCAACCAATGTTCTTTTATTCCCTTTCGTTATTCATTTACAGGCATCATTCATTGCCTTTGGCTTCCTGCAGTATACATCAAAACAAAGACCACGATACCGTGATTTTCCATAGAAATCAAGCAGGTAAAGGAGATGATTGAGTTCACCAAAAAGATGATTTTGATGTGTATATATTATGGAGGCAGTATGTGATGACAGGTGTGATTTCACTGTAATTCAAATATAAATATAAACATTATTATTATTGCGAACACAAACTATACTGTTAATCCATAGGTGATCGCTCTTATGCTTCAACCAAACTTCTCTTTTTTCTGTGCCCGAATAAATCCAGCAAGTTTCCGACATTATTTATTCGAACGTTCCATTGTTGACAACAACAACAACATGCGGATCATTTCTTCCAGAACCCAAACTCCACACTGAACCATCTGCTGTCAATATTCGACTACTTTCAACAGCCACTCCATCTGTCTTTAAATTTACAATGCGGCTTAATAAATCTCTGCAAATTGAATGTTTCATTACACCATAAATCTTTATTATCCCGGAGAGCTTCAAAAGATCTAATAGCCTATTTGTGTCGTGATAATTGCAGAAAAGCTAAATTACAATTAAATTAAAATCACGTGTGCCGATCACTTTGCTAGGAAAAAAAATGAATATGTCTCGCAGGATATTTCATTTTGATATTTGTGATGGATGATAGAGGAAGGAATTACTTAATATCAATATAGACTTTGGGTATTCAATAAC